GGGGGAGCAGCTCCCGGCTCCGGCAGCTCCTGCCGCTGCTCTCGGGGTCCCTGCCCCGCCAGCTCCGGTGTGTCCGAGCTCGCAGAACACCCAACTGTTCTTCCCAACTGCAGCGTTTTGCGGATTTTTGCAGTAGACCGAATCAATAAACGATCGCCTTGTTTTGGGAGGGTTTAAAAACAAAACAAAACAAAAACAACAACCAAACAAAAAACAAAACAACTCTTTCAGCTGATCTGTTTGCATAAGCCCAGGAATACGCTTGTATTCGGGTTAAACGGGAGGTAGAACTGAAATATGGATGAGGAAACAAGCCCCGAGGTGGAAGTCGGCAGGAACCGCGGACACTGCGTTTGCTGGTAGAAAAGCGTGAAGGTTCTGGTGCCACCTCCAGCGCCCAAAAGGTAGCTTGGTCTTTTCCCAAGGCTGCCAGGACTTCGGGTTGCTTAAGCTTTTTTGTTCCGTATTCTGAAGCAAGTTTCTGATTGAAAAACTGAGACTCATCCTCAACAGCTTTTTAGGAACATTCTCTGAAGAAATGCTTATACTGGAAAGCTAAAACTCCTCTTATATTTTAGCACAAATGCAGTTAACAAAGTCCCCCTAATTTACTAACATGAGCATGCCTCAGTGCATAGTTGAGACCATGTGCATAGGAACAAATTTGCTATTTATAAATGTAAGCCAAATTGAAACAAAGAGTTTCATGACTCAAAAGAAGGGTAAGGTTGAGAAGACAGATCTTACATTTGTTGCCAACGTCCCACAGTGCCTCATGCAGTGAACTGAATTTTCAGGAGATATGAGGCAGGGAGAAACCTTGGAATAAGGCCCTGTTCTCTGGAAATGAAGTTGCACTTTTCATCTGCTTAAAAAGCGTTCTGAAAGAACAAACTGTTTACTGCATTCAAAGGGTCTTACTCAGAGGATAGGAACATCCTGTGTCATTTTGCTTGCCAGATTTTTTCTGGGTTTCAGAAATCTGCAGTGCAGGGTTTCTGCAGTGCAAAGGTTGTAAAAGGCAAATACTGCAGTGCAGTGCATAGGAAACATCAAACTTGATGAGATCTTCTGCTTCCAGAACCTCAGAGACATCAGAAATTAAATTAAAATGGGTATTTTTCATATTCTCTGTGGAGAGGGAGAAAGATGTTAAGACCTTGGTGTTACAGAGATGGAAGGGATCAAGGAGTGAACGAGCATGGGTTTCACATGCTTCGTGTGCTTTCATGGTCCAGATCTGTAGGGAATGATGCTTGTGCTGGTGCTCTGCTTGTGATGTCCGGCTAGAGGGTTGCTCAGTATAGATTTGGAAGGTAATGGGCAAAGATGGCTCATTGCCCAGAATGTCTCACACAAAGCCTGGCAGCAGTTTGCCATTCTAGTTTCTGCAGCCTTGCCGTGGTATTGGCTGAGAGAAGAAGCCAGGATGTCTGTGGGAGTCCCTGAAGTACTTTAGAAGGCTAGAGTGAGTGCAGCTACTTGCACTTGCAGGTGAAGGAGCAAAGAACCAGACTGCTATCTACGTAGAAGGCCTACGTGGAAAATCTATTTTTTAAAATAAAAGGTATTTCAGTGTGTCAGGGTAATGAAGGTAGTGGATTAAAATGAAAAATCCAGCAGGTGATAATACAGCCTCTCAAGAGACGTGAATCTGCTTTTCATTTGTATTTGAAAAGGCCTTGAATTTGTATTTGTATTTTTTGATTTTTTTTTGAATTTGTATTTGAAAAGGCCTCCAGCCTTCCCTTGCTGGGAGTAAGGAAATTCCTTTTCCTACTTTCTTTCCACAGAGTTGGAAGTAAGCAGAGGTGATACCTAGAAACAGCCTTCGAATGTAATCTGAAAGGAAGCTTGACACGCAGCATGCCTTTCTTGAGTAACAACTGTGTGCCAACCTTCTTCCTGGAGTAATCAATGACATTTAAAATCAGTAGGTGCAAAAGATTAAGCTTTGGGTCATGCAGGAATGAATAAAAATCCTTTTGAACCAAGGAAGGAGAGAGTGTGACAAGAATATGGGAGGTCAAGTGTTTCTTTAGTTTACTTGTTTATTCCTGTTGTTTTCTGTGTTATTTTTTAACTCAAACTTCAATAAGGCACAGCCAAGGAAGAACCTTTCTGTGATATTTTAATTGTTTCTAAGCTCCATGTACTGTCCAAACATCGTGGCCCTTTGAGATTGTTAGCAGAGCAGTGGGTGGCGGAGTAGTCAGCGTGTGTCTGGCCTGGCAGTTGTTGGCTTCTTGTTTGACTTGCTCCCTGGAGCGGGGAGAACAACTGCTTATAGGGCGGAGAACAAGGGAGAGGGGCCTCAGCATCTTTTCTGTGCTATTGGCTGCTTTTGTTTTCTGGCATCCAAGAGACTTGGGCTTTGGAGGCAAGACATTCAACATCCTGTTTTCACAGAGTTTGTTTCTGTTAGTCCCAGTCTCTTCTCTTTTCTTCTGATTGCAGAGTTGCTGCAATAGCACCAAGGTAAGAACGTGAAATGGCACTTCTTGGCTCATTTCTCACACGGGGATCGTTATGTTTGAGCAAGAGGTATCTGGCATTCTAAGCAGATAAAGGCTAGTTTAGCTGGGATCTCAAAGAGCACTATGCTCTTTAGAGAGCTAGGCAACAGAGGCTGATATTGTAACTCCCGATTTGCTGAGTGCTGAAGTAATCTAACCTGTTTAGGACCATGCTGCCTGGATTCTTGTGCAGCAGGCACTAATGCCTGCACACTTTTAGTCCTTATGCTAAATCCTGCTCTCATAGAAGTTACTGGAAATTTTAGGGTGAAGCTGCATTGAGCTTCGCATATATTCGGATTGTCAAGGCTGCAGCTTTTCTGATGGAGCTAAGCAAGGTGCTTGTTGTGTGTAGTTCTTCTGGGAGTATCCCTGGTGCAGTGTTTGTCTCCCTTCTGGTCCTGGAAGGAAAGGTTTGTTGCAGAAGTGCCCTGTGACTCCCATGCTCAGCACCTTTCTGCAAAAATAGGGAGGGGGGACAATTTGAATTTCTGTGTTCATGGTTTCAGCATACTGACCAGCCATGTCTGGGTAAGAGTCCAAGCAGGAAAGATAAACAGGCTTTCTCAGTTAGGAGAAGGGCCAGAACTAGAAATGCAGAGCCTAAGAGAGGGTTGGGTGGAAATGTGTAGGTATGGAGTGGTACAGTCAGAAGGAGATATGTCTGCACCTCTCCTACATGCTCCTGAGGCTACAGAGATCCTTGGTTCCCCCCCCCCCCTTTTGAAAAATGTTCATAAAGCAGGGCTGGAGTTTCTCCTAGGTATGTTGGATTTTGAAGAGCAAAGGAGGGCATGTATTACAGGAAATAAAGAACTGAACCTGCTTTCCAATGCCAGAAGCCTTGGCAGCAGGTTCTGGTGCTATTCTGAGATGTCAGCCAGCGCAGAAGGAGGAAGCAGTATGATGTTCTGCATTTCTGTCTAGTCCAGGAGTCCTGCATATGGATTCCAGGTAAGAAGCAGCTTCTTGCAGAGGGAAAGGTGTTTTGGTTCAGTGGGACTCCATGCAGGGAAGACTCAAGGAAAAAGCATAATTCAGACAACCTAAATGTTCCCATCAGGCTGCAGGGTCTCTTGTGAAGTGTGTTATGCCAGTCTCAACAGGGGAAGTTATGTTAAAAGACTCATTTGGAGAATAAGCTGATGATGAGTGTTATAACTCTGGCACATGGAGGTCTTAGCAAGAACCTGCTTATGGAGAAAGAAACTGGGCACAGAAGTGGAAGAACTAGACAAGGGGAGAGATAGTGGAAGGAATATCTTGCGAATGAGAACTTTGACTCAATGATTTTGTTGCAATTATTAGCTACAGTATATAAACAAATGTGGTGAAATAGACTCTGGACTGCGTGCCCATGGGGAGAAGCTGAAAGAGAGACAGAGAGTGCAGTGCAAACCAGATATTTCTCATTTGGTTTATGCATCATCTGAAAAATGCTCAGAAAATATGGCCATGGAGCAGAGTCCAGGTACAGGCACAGAACATGCTTTGGAATGGTGAAAGTTCTTTACTCCCTAAAGGAGATGGAGGTTTCAGGCTCAGATTTGCTTTAAAAGCACTGGAATGAAGTGCCCTGGAAAACCTTCCTGCTCCAAAACTTCCTTTACTTCTTCTAATTTGTGTTCTTCTCTTTTTGACTGAAGATAAACAAGAGCCTATGAGAACTTTCATCTCCCTCCTCCCTCACAGATGGAAGTCTCCAAGGAAAAAATCATCCTGAATATTGGGGGAGTCAGATATGAGACATACAGGAGCACCCTCCAGACGTTCCCAGGGACCAAGCTGTGCAACCTAACGGAGCCTGATGCCCCAAGCATTTACGACTATGATCCCACCACCAAAGAGTTCTTTTTTGATAGGAGTGCCGAGGTCTTCAGCTATGTGTTGAACTACTATAGGACCAAACATTTCCACTGCCCTGTTAATACCTGTAGGTCAGTCTTAGAAGAAGAGCTGGCTTTCTGGGAAATACAGGAGACACAGCTATCATCCTGCTGCTGGCTGAAGCTGAATAACGAAGAGGTGCAGCCAGAGGAGTTTAACATTTGGGATGAAAATGAACAGACTGATGACGAGTGTCTCATAGTCCAGACAGAAAGAAGTAATTCCAACTGGCGAACCAGGTGGCAGCCAAAGATTTGGTCTATATTTGAAAAACCCTTTTCCTCTTTTAGTGCTAAGGTAATGCTGTATGTGGGGATTAACACAGCCTGTGTCCCTTGGGATTTCTGTAATGGGTCCATCAAAAGTGCTAATGTGTTGATAGCTTTGATAAGTATGCTTTGAGTCCCAGATTAAAAGAGAAAAAATCACAATCAAACCTCTCTTCTTTTGAGCAGACATCTCCATCTTCTCTGTTCCTCTTGTCCCTGTTTCCTGTAGGATTTTCATGCCCTCTGCCTAACTTTAAAATGTCAGGCATGCAGAACAACAAACACAAGTCAGAGGCTGCAGAGGATGTTTTCTGTGCTGCTGGTATTTCTGGAGCAAACGTTTGGTGCCAATGAGGCCTTCAGTATGTCTGTCCATATTACTCCAGCTAGCAGACATTTTCCCTTCCTTACAAACTCCGATGTAGGAGTTCAGATGGTTTTTTCTTTGACTCCAATCTTCTCTTCTTATTTTTCAAGTCTGTAATGAGAAAATGCACTCCATGTGAGCAAAACCATGGTGATTTGAGAAAGATTAGTCTGGGATTGTACTGTGCCTGAGGAGGGGATGCTGGAGTTGTGCTGGGGCAGTGAAGTTGTGGGGCAGGGAGGGTATATGACAACTGTTTGTTGGACTAATGGCCTGTATGCCCTTTCCTCCCTCTGCAGTGCTTGGCTTTTGTTTCTCTGCTGTTCATCGTGGGAATCGTCATCATATTCTGTGAAGAGACCAAGGCACAGTTTGAGTTCTTTACTGCTAACTTCACCTCTGTTGGCTCTTCTGAGGTCTCCCATGACAACCATGAACCCTTTTACCACCAGGCTGCCTACTTGCTTCATCTGGAGCTTTTCTGTGTCCTCTGGTTTACTTTTGAGTTCTCTGTGCGATTTTGTTTCTGCCCAGCCAAGAAGTTGTTCTTCAAAAATCCCCTCAATGTGGTTGACTTCCTCTCCCTCTTCCCAGTTTATATTGAGCTCTTTGTGGCTCAGAAGATTCAGAGAATGCCAAGTCTGGGGCTTTGGTTGGGTTTTGTTCGCGTTGTCTATCTCCTTAAACTCCTGAAGATATCCAAGCTGATAGAAACACCAGTGATTCTCAGGGTTCTGTGCTACACCCTCAAGTCCATCCTTAGAGAGATTTGCATCCTGCTGATGATTTTGGCCTTTGAGACCCTCTTCTTTGGTTCTCTCTTTTTCTATGGAGAGTTGCTGGGTATCCATCCCCCCTTCACAGGGGAGGTGCACTTCACTGACATTCTTATGTGCTTCTCGTGGGCCTTGATCACACTCACTGCAGTGGGCTATGGAGATATTGTCCCTGTCACTGCAGCTGGCCAAGTGATAGCAGCCTTAGCTGCAGTATTTGGCATGTTAACTATGATCATTTCAATACCCATTTTCCTGGTGAAATTCAAAAGCTATTATGACGTTGCTATCTTCAAACAGAAGGTTAAAGGGAGCAAGAAACATTAGCACTTCGGAACCTCTGTTCCCCCCTGCCTTTAGCAACAAGCCTTCAGCATGGTTTCTTTCCTTTGGTGGGAAGGGAATGCAAATAGTTCTTACTGCATTAACTTGCTGCCTCAGCAGATTCCAAGCCATTGGCGAGGCCGCAGGTTGCAGCACTTGATACACAACTGATCAGACCTGTTGTATCCCATGGGTCTTTCTCATACTGTGCTTCATCCCGTGCTGTTTGACGTACCATGGTTGCTCATCCTGCTGTTCAGAGACCAGCTGTGGGGCTGCATTATAACCTGGTTGTGCACCCTGTGTTCCAGTTCCATGCCTGTTGCAGATGGGATCCAAGGTGGATTGGCTGCTGTCATTTAACCATTTAGCCATACCTCCAAAATCTCTCATTGGAGAATAAAAGGAAAATAGTAGAAAAAACCATAAAGACCCTTTTCTCACGAAGCAAACTCTTCAGTTTATCTGTTTGTTCTCACTTCACCTCCGTTTCAGGCCTGTTTGTGGCTGGGCTGGGCTCCGTGTTCAACACCGGAGTGCAGCTGATGTCATGAACATCAACTTGGCCTCTGTTTGTACCTTTCAGTGTTGTTACCACCTCTGAGTTTGCTGGGCCTTTTCCCTTCTCATGGGAACCTTTCCATTCCAGGCCTGGGCCTGCAAAACTGAGAGACAAAAACCAGTTGAATTGTAGAGGGAAACTGAGGCAGGCATATTGAGAGATGGAGCGTCCTGCTGCAGGGCCCCAGCATATCCCCTTATCTGTCACACCTGTGACACCCTCCATCAACTGACTCCTTTCAGCCTCACATTGCCTGCTGGGAAAGCTTTGTGCAAGGTTCTGCTCTGACTGCAAGGAGGAAGCATGAGTATTTTATTTTCTTTTAACACTATTTTCTCATTTTACCTAAACAAGCCAAGGCACCTGGTTTGCCTACATGCAGACTCTGATGCCAGGAGGGGAGCAGGCTGAAGTGGGTACCTGTGGTCCCTGTTTAATAACTTGCTTTGAGTGCTCCCAGGATCTGTTGTGGTGTTCAGATAGCAGCAAGAGAACCTTGCAACAGCAAATCCTTTTTGGCCCTGCTGAAGTCAATGGCAACATTTCTTTGTCCTCAGTGAGATCAAAATTTCATTGGACACTTTCACTGGATCAACACATTTCAATGATTCTTGATTTTTACATAACAAAGTCACTGAGCTATTAGCCAAAATATCTATCTGTTTTTTACTGTTCAAAAGAAATAACATAACTTACAGTACTACATATAATTTTAAAGTAATTTACTTTCTTAAGGCATAGATATAAACTAGTAATATTTATCTTGTAACTGGATAGTCTTGTGACCTCATGTTTAATTATGAAATAACAAATATTGCTGAGGAATGAAAAAACCCACATCCCATTGTTTATACAGCAGGATAGTGTGCTGAGATTGTTTTGTTTAGTAAGTAAAAATTTATGTATACAATAACATTTATGTATTAAAACTGCATTTTAATTACAGCTTTGGTTAAGTGTTATCTCTCACTATGATTTTCCTGCTCAGGATACCATTTTAAGGCTGTTTTATTTTTATTGAAACACCAGGTAATTCCCTCTATTCCAATGCAATTACAATGAATTTGGTTTTGTCTAAAGAGAGAAAAAATATGGCAAACATTTCAGACACAAAGCATGAGAAGCTGACAACCCCCTGGCAGTGGGAGGCAGGTCTAGGAGTTCTCCTGCACCCACTTCTGCTGTACACAGGGTGGAGGGGTGAGCTGTGTAGAGCCACGTGTACTGGCGCATAGGGATTTATCTTCATTTGATCAAAGTGGTGCTATATTTTCTGTGGACATAGACTTCTTGGAAATACATATTAATTACAACAGTTTAACAGAGATTAACCAGGCCTGTCCTCAAGTTTTCCTCAGTCTGGGCAAGAGTCCACAATATAATCTGTACCG